GGATATACATAAGCCATGGACACAGACAACAGTGTGGTAAAGGCTGGGGTGGGGGCAGGTGTTGGGTGGAAGGGGTCAATGGGAAAAAAACAAAAAACAAAGGGGGACATCTGTAATACTTTCAACAATAAAGATACTTTATAAATAAATAAACTCACTTAACAAAATCCTCCACCATCTCCAACCTTTTGGTCCAACCATAAAATGCAATGTAGTTAGAGAACCATTTACCTACTATCGAAATAGCAAAAGTGCTATTCCTCTGTGATGACTATAGGGCATGATTGCCAGACAAGTTGATATGCTTCTAATCAATACCTGGCTATTGACTGCCCAATGGGAGAAGCACTATATCAGGCTTAAGAGAAAAAAAAAATGACATCCTCTTGCCAAGCTGAGAAGTGAGCTAAAAGGCATTATCAGGGTGTCAGAGAGGCTGCACTATGAAAGGGATTAGCAAAGGCTGAGAAATGGTGACTGTCATCAGACAGAACTAGTGAGAAGATCAAGGCAAGTCCCACTCAACAGGAGACACACGGATAATAATAAGTACTTGTATCATGTATTGAATTCACTCACTGTGAGACTAATAATCAAATGCATTGTTACTGACACCAGATGTGTTTTAAGAAGTACTTGTTGAATGATAAAATAAGATTTTGTGGAAACAATCTTATTCCTATTATACAAGTCATCTAAAAAACAAAACAAAACTTTGCTTTATCTGGAACTCACCATGACAGTCAAAAATAATTTCTACTTCAATATGCAAATGCTTTAGTAAAAGTACATGTCAAACAGAGGAGGTAAAACAAGATGCCAGAAAATATTAATGAGAGTATAAACTGTAGTAGGTTTTAAAAAAGTACATCGGTAATATGATCAAGATCCTTAAAACTATTCATAATCTTTGACTCAATAATGCTATTTCTAAGACTAGTTCAAGAAAACAGTAATACATGTGGGGTTAAAAAATAAGCACAAAGTGTTCACTGGAAATGTTGAATATAATAACATATATTTGGAAAAAACACAGGGTCCCTCCCCTCAAAAGGCCAGAATATTAAAGGAATTAAATAAAAACAAAAGTCTCATTAAGTAGACTATTTATGATGCAGTTATTAAAGTGGTATTCATAGATATTTTCAAATAACATGTAAAAAACTGCTCATAAGAGAAAGTATACTCAGATTCCCTTCCAGAAAAGTGCTTTATAGGGGTCCAGTTTGGGCTTCAGGAATGAATAAAGCTCTTCATTGTTCCTGTCTTGAGCCAGGCAAACATCAGCATCATCCCAAAACATAGCATATATATTCCCACCACCGGGTCCTGGCTCTTGCCAGTCTCTCCAGTTCTAATTTTAGCAGTTCTCCAAGTCCTAATGCAGCTTACTTACTTCTGTGATGATGTCACAATTATCCTAGAACACAAATACTTCCTCATCACTCTGTCTTCTAGAATTGCATTGTCAATTAGGGTATCACAATATCATAGTGTCTATAACTATATGAAGAATATCATGAATGGCCTATCAAAAAGTTCATATACAGTGGTTTGCAAATATCTTGTGTGTTGGAGAAAGGAAATCAGATATAAGGCCTAACGATCTGACATCTTCCACCATACTTACTCCTTTCGAGCACTTACTAGCTATGTGATCTAGAGAAAGTTATGTATCCTTTCTGGGCCTCAATGTGCTCATCTATAAAATAAATCTTCTATAATAATTAAAGTGTATTATGCAAATAGATCAAATGGCCAAACAGTGGAACAACCATCCAGATGACCACACTGTGACACCTACTGGTGCTGGGGCAGCCAAGGCGGGTGTGATGCGATTGGTCGGGGGCCTGACCATCACCCATGATCACCCTGAAGAGGGAGTCCCAGGCCACTGGCAAGTGGGATGATCAATCAATTGGAGGGCTCCATGATTACCCCAAAGAAGGAGGCCCAAGCTACCCTGTGGTGGTGCTGTGGTGGGTAGGGGGGCGTCCCTCTTCGGGGGTGATCCATCATGAAGCCTTGGCTAGGTGGACAGAGCCTACCTCTTTGGGGTGATTGATCATGGGGCTCTTGGACTGTGAGAGGGCTTGGATATTTCTCTACCACTGAGTGCAGAAATTTCATGCATTGGGCCTCTAGTATGGTAGTAACGCCATCTCAGTTTATCACGTTGTAGACCGATCTGTGCATTATGCTCCCATAATAAAATAAAATAAAAATCATTCTTCCTATTTTAACTTGGATTTGTAATAAGGTGGACATGATATACCATGACCAAGTCATACCCTGAGTACTTAGAAGTTTGGCTTCAAGTACACAGCTTCTAAACTTGCACACTGTGTAAAACCAATAACCATGGTAACTGTCTCTGGTGGTCTGATGGCCATGAACATTGGTTGGGTTTCCAGGGCTTGTGTTGAATGGCTAAATTATTTTACCTTTCATTACTATTCTGGAGAATAGGATACAACTTAGATAAGAAAATTTCTAACCAAAAACAACTGACAGTCCTGATATAGTAGTGTTCAATGGAAGCCCATGGGAAACAATAATCTCCTCCTTTCCTTATATGGGGAAGCTGCCACAGATTGGATAAGAATTGCCCACATATTCATCATCATTTTCTTACATAGGTGGTTTTGAACAAGGTGCATTTAAAGTAACCTAACTTGCATACCCAAGTTTTTAACTGTCATCAGATAATGAGGAAAGAATATTGAAATGGAATCATGATATGTCAAGTTTTCACAGCAACCTAATGTGTCTAGACTCAGAATTCTCATTTTGTCATTTCTCAGAGAGTCCATTGGACACTTCTTCACCTCACCCAGATGCACAAGAGCTAAAAAAAAGTTTATCCTATCTGTTTTCAGTCAGCCCCATTGGTTCACATTTACTGGAACAAACCAATAATGAAAAAAAAATTAAACTAACCCTGAAGAGCTTAAAAGGACAAAATACTAAGAGAACACTCAAGAAATTATCAATTTTAAAAATTCTGATGACCTTATATTTACTTTTCTGATTGTAAATGATTGCTTTAAGAAAATCTGCCCAACATGCCAAGAACATTGTCATTTCCACAAGAGCAGAATATTGAACTTCCTTGTTTTGTTTTCATGAGGTGTCCTAGGTGATGTTTTCTTCCCTTTGGCAGCTTGTATCTCTAATGCCCCACATGTGACTCACATACTTGCTAAAAGCATGAAGGCAAATTTGATGCACTTAGTTTACCAAGTGATTCAAAACAATGGTTCTTACCCAATCAGAGGTGGTGGGTGGCAGGGGTTTGTTAGAGGGAGGACAAATTCTTGAATTGCACAGGCATCCAAAGTGTGCTTGTCCAACCTCAGAGTCACACAAATGCTCTTTTTTTTGTCCTGGCAGGGTCTCCAGAAGGAAACATGGGGTTTTTAGTGTTACAGCCCACAGTGTAAGCACTGAGCAATTTCACAGGAAGGAGAATGGGAAGGTTTTAAATAAATGATATTGATAAGCTTAGTCTGCTGATTGTTCAACTCATCAGCTTTACAGTATTCCATCAATTTTATTTTCTTAAGCTAAAAAATACTATTTTTAAGCTGGTGGATGGAGAATATTAAAGTAGAATAGCATTCATAGGATGAACTCCTTAAAAGATCGTTAAATTACTTTAGAAAAGGTGAATAGAATAAACATTGAAACTGATAGAAATGCCGAAACTGGTTTGGCTCAGTGGATAGAGCATCGATTTGTGGACTGAAAGGTCCCAGGTTCGATCCCGGTAAAGGGCATGTATCTGGGTTGCGGGCACATCCCCAGTAGGAGATGTGCAGGAGGCAGCTGATCGATGTTTCTCTCTTATCGATGTTTCTAACTCTCTATCTCTCTCCCTTCCTCTCTGTAAAAAATCAATGATATATATTTTTTAAAAAACTGATAGAAATGATGACATTAATTTTTGTCAAAAATTAAGTAGCTTGGACTTACGTCTTTATCAGGGTTGAAAATGTACTGATGCTACATCAGACTCAACTCTACCATGGCACAGGAACTCTGGACACTGGCCCTGCTTTTTAGCTCTACTGAACCCTCAGCTGCATATTTTCCAGGACTGGCTTAAAGACGATAGGACACTGGAAAAAGAGGATTATAATTCCATGCAAATAAAAAACACTCATTCTCCTGTGCCAGTCTTAGTAATTTACTTTTCTCCCACTAGTGATGGAGAGATTCCACCCACCCAATCCTCCAGCAAAAAACTGCTTGCAGATTCAGTTTCCTTTTCCATTTTTCCTAACATAGTCCCACCACAAGTTCAGTTCAAGCTTTCTATTTGAAGCCTCCCAAACACTGACATATGGTCATCATACTTATCACCAATATGTTGGTTCTGCCGTGTCAGATCTCATGATAAGGTGGTATTTCCTTCCCTCTTAAATTTAGGTGTGCCCATATGAATGTGAATAGAAGTGCTGTTAGCCACTAACAGGTAGATTTAAAAAACTGACATATGTTTCCCTGTGTTTCCTTCATGCCATGACAAAGTTCCAGAGAGGGAGCCTCTGTCAGCATCCCAGAATGCGGCAATGTGAGCAAGAGCCCTCTGCCCATGTGTGATGAGCATATCACACAGGCATGGCAAAACTGCTGGTCACTTAGGCCACTGAGATGTTGGATTGTTTATCACAGTACAACTCAGCCCACAAAGACAACACAGTTGACTTAATAGCTCACCCCTATGCACCTCTATGCACCCATGGCCTCTTGTCTTGCCTGTACCATAACATTTCCCATTCCTGTCCTCCTCATAGGCCATACATTCCATGAGAATATGGCTCATATCCATGTATCCTCCATGCCCACCCCAATGTTTGGCATATTGTATTATCTCAAGAAAGGCATGTTGAATGAATGAATAAGAAGTTCCTTCCCCATGCTGACTACATCATGAAGGTAATCTGGTGTTCCTGGAGTTTTGCCCATTCTATTGTGGAAACCACGAATCTACTCACGGTGATGGCAGGTGGGGCCAACGTAGCCCGTGTCACTGCAGTTACAATAGAAGGTGGTCCAGGACTGGGAACAGCTTCCTCCATGTTCACAGTAGTTTGGCAAACACCTAGGAGGAGATAAAGCAGAGCAACCAAATCAGTAAGAATAAAGAGAAAAATAAATATCTACTTGCATGAATTAATAGAGTAAATTGGTCAGCTATACTTCTCTACCTAATCAGTCTTCAATCCATCAAAATAAAAACTGTGATTTACCATAAGAAATGGGTGGAATTATTGGGCAATAAAAGCTTTGAGTTGATTTAGGCAATTAAGTTAAGGATTTCAACACTGGGGCAAAATCTCATTGATTTGAAGTTACTATAAAGTAGTCAGAATCTGTAAGGCTTTTCATTTTCCACAGAACAAAATGTGCAAAGTTTGTAATTTCACGTGTTGGAAAGGTTTTGCATTTTTAAAGAAAAGGGGAGATGTGCAGATAATTGTGGTCACTGACCCCACATTTCTCTTTTGGGGATTAGTCAGGAATCTCTTTTAAACCACTATTTTTAAAAAGCAACATGACATTTTAAAAGATGTACCTGCTCATTTAACATGCAAAAAAATTATATCATTGTTTAAAGTGCCAATATCACCCTTACAATAAGGCTCTTACTAGGTTATACTGAAAATAGTGTAACTATTCTAAATTTTTTTTTCACCATACATGTTAAAAATTCTCTGAAACATTCACATAATTTGACCCAGCAATCACACTTAAATAGCTCTATCTTTAGGATATATTTTAAAATATGGAAATTATGCATGCTACTTATCATTATTCACAATGATGTCATGATGAATCAAGTTAAGTGTTCAAGATTAGAAAATTTCTTAGGAAAGTTGTAGCACATAAAATTAATGTGCTATCATAAAGCTGCTACAAATGATGTTAGCAAATGGGATAATAATGGACCGGGACTGGATTAAGTGGAAATTCAAGCTGTACAGCACGGCCACAACAAAATAAGAAAAACACTTTGTGTTGTAAAAATGATAGGAAAACAAAGGCTAAGTGTCCCTTGTTCTAATGGGAGTGAAGACAATGTTTTATTTTATTTTTTTCTGAACAGAGATCTTAGACTTTAAGGTCACACATTCCTGAGTTTGATCCCAGCTCCAGACATTTGCTACACAGTGCCTTTGGATAATTCTCTTTGCCTTTTATATACATGAATTAAAATCTTGACACTGCAGGTCCTGTTACTACTAAGAGATAAACTGGCAAGTGCATCATATTTGTAATGAATCAAATTAAGAGTAAAAGCAATAATAAATACTGAAATCTGAAAACCATCTTTACAGTTAAAAAACATCCCCTGGACTTAAAAGGGAGAGGGTGGGAGCAATGAAGTAACAGAAGTGGTCTAATGCAGTAAAAGCATTTATTGTGTAACCACTGAGGGTGTGATTACCTTAAACGCCCTGTATAGATAAGGAACCCTCTAGCAGTGATTGTTTCAAAGCCCAGAAACTAATATTCCTGCATATGTTCAGACGCATTATTAGAAAAATTCTGCTCAGCACAGCAAACACTCAATTGTGCTGACAGGGCTTATGTTTGGGAAGAGCTTATTGGTAACCCCTTGGTATCCAGCTATGGCTGGATAGGGTCCAGTAATTTTGTTATAGAATATGTCCACAAATCCAACCAATAAGTGAATAAACAAACCAAAAAAATGATCCCTTTCCTGCACCTAATGTTACCCTTCCTCATGATTTTTACTTCCAGCGCCAGATCTCGGTGAAAAATAAAAGAAACACACTTGTCACTGAGATATACCAGAGTCCTTACCTCCCACGAACCTTGTGCTGTGGCAAGTTACATAAGCAAGGGGCTCTGCCTCTGGGTGTGCCCTGATGGAGTGCCTGACAGCTAGCCTATAGATGCCCACCCGCACCATACCTTTTCTCTTGCACCCTATACTTCCCCGTTCCTAAATATTGCTTCTTTTGCAGTTTATATTTCTCCATAGTTTCTCCTCTGAAGCTGTCAAATTTGACATGTCCTCTCTATACCCTGTCTCACCCCATTCCCCCTCACTCCTCCACCCCAAACACACACACACACACACACACACACACACACACACACACAGATTTAAAGAAGGGAAGCTGAGCAAAGCCAGGCCAGTAGGTACTTATCCTACAACTCAAGGCCTGGTGCATGAAATCATGCACCAGTAGGGTCCCTAGGACTGGCCAGTAATCAGGGCAGATCTGTGGGTTGATCAGTGGGGTGTTTGGGAGCCCGCAGCTGCCACCCGCCTTGGCAGGGCCTGGCACTGCCCGCTCGCCAGCCCCACCCACACTGCTGCCATGGCTGCCTCCCTCTGCTAGGTTTCTAGCGGAAGATTGAGGGGGCCCCCACTGGTACCTGCCTGGTGGTCAGAGCATGTCACAGCAACCGGGTGTTCTGCAGGTCGTTCCACTGTTTGTTCAATTTGCATATTAAGCTTTTATGATATAGGATTCTTTTGGTTTTGGCATAAAAAAAGTTCAGATCAGCCTCTTTTTGGTGGCTGCAACTATGAAATGGAAAACTCAGAAGTTCACAGTAGCAATGTTTCACCTATGAGAAGATAGCTTTTCTTCAGTGAGAGATTGAGAAAGAGAGAGAGGGAGGGAGAGAGAGAGAGGGAGAGAGAGAGAGAGAGAGAGAGGAAAATGTATCTTTCTGTGAAGAGAGAGAGAGAGAGAGAGAGAGAGAGAGAGAGAGAGAGAGAGAGAGAGAACACAGGTACCCAGGTGCAGGTTATGTGGCTGGTTCCTCTTATTCCCAAAATTTGGTTGCACCCCTGAACATTTTGAGGGCTGGCTGTTTCATCTATATTAGGTTCTGTGAGATTCCCCAAGATCTTTTCAGAAAAACCCCATTTCATGCAGGCCAGCTCAAGTTGGAATTCTGTTATTTTATTCTAACAGGGTCTAACAGAATAATGTGCCCTGGTGGGGTCCCTCAGCCTGGCCTGCACCGTTTTGCAATCCGGGACCCCTCGGGGAATGTCATGCCAAGGGACCCCACCAGGGCATGAATCTGTGCACTCTGCCTCTAATATGCATATAAGATCTTTGGTTAATCTCTTCCTGCCCTCCCCCCTCACCTCTTCCCTCTGAGATTCATAAGTCTGTTCCATGTTTCCATGCCTGTGCATTGAGCATCTGCCCTCTGGTGGTCAGTTTGCATCACAGCTACCGGTCGAACAGTTGAATGGTCAAACAGTTGCTTAGGCTTTTATTTATATAGACTAGTGGGCCGGTGCATGAAATTCGTCCATGGGGGGTGTCCCTCAGCCCGGCCTGCACCCTCTCCAATCTGAGACCCCCTCAGGGGATGTCTGACTGGCAGTTTAAGACTGATCCCACAACCGTCAGTCAGGCATCCTTCTCACAATCGGGGAATGCTGGCTCACCTGCCTGCCTGCCTGATTTCCCCTAACCACTCTGCCTGCCGGCCTATTTGCCCCCAACTGCTATCCCCCACCAGCCTGATCACCTTCAACTGCCTCTCCTGCCGGCCTTCTCTCCACCACCTGCCCTCCCTGCCAGCCGGCTAGTCCCCAACTGTCCTCCTGCAGGCCTGCTCACCCCCAACTGCCCCTCCCCGGCAGCCTGATCCCCCCCAATTGACTTCCACTGATGATCTGTTCACCCCCAATCCCCCCAGCAGCCTGATCACCCACAACTGCCCTCCCCTCTTGGCCCCTAAGCACCTCTACCTCGGCCCTGCCACCATGGCTTTGTCCAGAAGAATGTCCGGCAGGTCTTCTGGAAGGTGTCCCAGTCTAATTAGCATATTACCTTTTTATTAGTATAGATATAGAGACCTGGTGTATGGGTGGGGGCTTGCTGGTTTGCCCTGAAGGTTGTCCCGGATCAGGTTGGGGGCTCCCTTAGTGGGGGCAGGGTGGCCTGGGTGAGGGGTCTGTGGTGGTTTTCAGGTGAGCCACAACCACATGGGGTGAGGGTTTGTGCTGGGTGAGGGGCTGAGGGCTGTTTTCAGGCTTGCCACACCCCCTTCATGGTGGGGGCTCCTGCTGGGGGGCCTTTCCAGCCTGGGTAAAAGGTTGAGGGCTGTTTTCAAGCTGGTCACACCCCCTTCAAGATGGGGGTCCCCACTGGGGTGCCTGGGTAGTCTGGGTCAGGGGATGATGCCGTTTGAAGGCTGACCATACCCCCCAGAAGTGACCCCCACCCCATGGGGGTGTGGCCAGCCTGGGTAAGGGGCTAAGGGCCACTTGCAGGCCCCTCCCTTGGCGGCCAGCTTGGGTGACCCAAGCCTCCCACACTCTCAGACTGGCTCCTTCAGCGGCTGGCCAGGGCGGGCAGGAAGCTTGGCTCCCTCTGTCACCCAGGGCCACCTAAGCGCACTTGCTCTGGCCTGCTCTGTGGCCATTGCCCACAGGCCCCACCTTCATCTGCCAGCTCAGGTGTGCGGGAAGCTTGGCTTCCTCCTGACCCAAGCCTCCCGCCCGCTCGGGCTGGCTCCGTGGCCGCCGCCATCTTTGTCCAGTTAATTTGCACATTCTGTCCTGATTGGCTGTGGGACATTGCAGAGGTATGATCTATTTACATATTTGTCTATTATTAGTATAGATTTTATTGATTTCAGAGAAGAAAGGAGAAGGAGAGATAGAAACACCAATGATGTGAGAGAATCATTGATTGGATGCCTTCTGCACACCCCACACTGGGAATCCAGCCCACAACCTGGTTATGTGCCCTGACCAGAAATTTGACCTTGACATCCTGCTTTATAGGTTGATGCTCAACCACTGAACCACACTGGCCACTGGCCAGACCAGAGTCTTTTTAAAAAAATCCTCACCTGAAGATATTTTAAGGATATTATTTCATTGATTTTTAGAGAGAGTAGAAGGGAGGGAGGGGAGAGAGGAACATCAATGTGAGAAGGACACATCAATTGGTTGGCCCTCCTATAGGCCCTAACAGGGGCCAGTGATCAAACCTGCAAGACAGATAAGTGCCTTTCACTGGGAATCGAACTTGAGACCCTTTGGCCTGCAGTCTGACATTCTAACCACTGAGAAACACCAGCCACAGTTCA